CTGACGAGCCCAGTTGTAAGTAAGCTATTAAGACTCGACTGTACACCGTGTTTGTGTTTTCCTCCAAAAACAATAAGTTCCGTTGGAGCAGCCTTCCAACGCCTCTCTTTGTCTTTCGCTAGCAAAGTTGACCCAGACAACAAAGTAAAGCTAGTTTTCGGCTACTAGCCAACACGGAACTGACGTATTAGCCAGAGGTCCCTTTACTACGGTTCGGAGCCGCGGACCTGTTTTCTACACGAGATCACTGCAAAAGGTGCAGCCTTACCTAATGTCCACCTACTGTTACTCATTTTATGTTAAGGCATGTATTCTGTAATCTGTAGTGGAATACATTTTAAGAGTAACCTTCCCAACACTGCTCTCCTTCAATAAAAGCTCACTCACATGTCAGCCTGTGCCTGCATTTTGGGTCTTTATCTCACCTCCACGCAGCCTTCGACAAACATTGTGCCGTAAAAACTTTTGTTTCTTCATTATCAGTTATCAGTTCATTGTTCTCTTGTAGGGTCTGTGACTGTAGTGTAGACATAGTCTTCATTAATCTGAGGAAAGGGCAGTGTCTCTGAATTATCTGAATGTATTTTGTCAACTTGTAACTAGTTTTTATTGTAATGAAATTTCATGAACTATGTTCTGATACTTTATGTGTTGTGTTTCTCATTTAATGCACTTTATTAAATAAAGTTGTCACAGTAACAGAGTTGTGTGTTATCAGCAGCAGTGGGTGTTATAGTTATGGACATAATTTAGAGGAGAGTTCAGTTTAGCCTCTGTACGCCACCACAACATATTTGACAATACAGTCAAGATGTGACTGACGTCCAAACTTCCAGCTATAATTTAATGGGTTAACAGCCGCATGGCATTCATTGGTTATGAATTGGAGCAATTCTTATGAGCAATCCCCCATTTTTTAGAGGCTCAAAGGTAATTAGACAAAGTAACAATGTTTTAAATATAAGCACAAATTTTACTTGGCCTGAAGTCCTAAAGTCCTGAACAATGAGTACCTGAAGTCTATCAGCCATGCACATCACCAGATGCTGTTTCTATCCTTTGTCAGGCATTTACTGTGTTGATTTGCTCTTTGTGACTTTCTCTGTCTTCAGTTTTGTATCTACTAACTGAAAAGTGGCTCTTTTGGGCTGAGATCAACTGACTGACTTGGTCATTGAAGAATATCCCATTTCTTTGCCTTGGGAAAGGCTTGGTTTACTTTTGCAGGATGCTTTTCTTTTTTTCCAGAGTATATTCCTGTACACTTCAGTCCTCCTATGTATGTGCTGTGCTGCCAGCATTCAGTTCACAGCATACGGCACTGTCAGATCACACAGTGCAAAACAGGTTTTTATATTTAAATATATATATATTTGAAATTATAATTATCTCAAACAATAAGATGTGTTTTAATGCAATTATTGTTAATCGTTTTTTATGTAGTGTTAGAGCATTGCAGTAATGAGGCCATACAGCCTGTGTCCTGAGTGTTTTCTGGTGTAATGGGGTAAACTGTCCTGCTGGGGGAGTGCTCTTAATGTCATTAACTGTACTTGTCGGTTCTTCTAATGTTGTGGCATCTATCCACCTGTTGTTTACACAAACATCGGTTATTTTTCCTTATAATGTCACATTAAATGATATACATCTTTAACTTTTAATGTTAACCTTTTAAATATTCTGGTACTTTTTGTGCCCCCGGTTGACACTGATGAGCCACCGTGTGGTATCTGTTACTCTCACATTTATATTCATATCAGTCTCAAACCACAGCCCATTGCTAATATAGCTTCACCTGCAACAGCTCATTTCTGTCCCCACAAAAGGCTGAGACACTCAGAGGTAGGCACGCGAACATATATAAAGAAATGAACACTCAAATGAACATGCTATTAAAGCGCACACCAGCATTAGAAGTACAGATATTTCCATGCTTGGTCCCAAGTGAGCATCAGAATGATGCTGAAAGGTGATTTAAGTGAAGGTGAATATGGCATTGTTGTTGACGCCAGACCGGCTGGTCTGAGTATTTCAGAAACTTACTGGAATTTTCCCACAAAACCATCTCTACGGTTTACAGAGAATTGTCTGAAAAGTGTTGATGAGAGAGGTCAAAGGTCAGACTGCTTCAAGCTAATGGTAAGGGAACATAAATAGCCACTCATTACAGCTAAGGTATGCAGAAGAGCACAGTATGCACAGCACAAAGGATGTAATAATGGCTAAGAACAGG